ACATATATATATATATATATATATATGCAATAATGCATATTTATAAAGAGGCTGGACTCGTGAGACCCTGAGTTAAATGCAGCTTTATGTGTAATAAGAACGATACGACTGATGCGTTTTGGCCCTTAGCTTATTTTCCTCCTGCACATAAAGCAGCAGAAAAATGGCTGCCCCAAGGCTGCGCTGCTGTGGCTGTCGCCTTGAAATTAAATCCTTCATTCAGTCCATCATAGAGCCTCTGCTGTCAGGGCAGAACTACATTGAAATAAATTTAGTTGTCTTTTCCACTTTTTACGTTTTACCATAACTGTCAAAGAAAGTGATCATATTGATTGATTAATGCATGGTATCAAGCTACTCCCTGCACRATCCATTTATTATACGGCAAGCTTTTTTTTTTTCATCAAATCTAGCTTATTCACTTTACTCACAGAATAACCAAAACATTGATTGAACTCTCCGCTCAGCTGAGACCTTGTGACCATGTTTGTTTTCAGCTTTATCAAGAGCTATTAAGAAGAAGAAAAAMGCAACATCTCTGATGTTTCTTTCTCCTAAAAGGTGAGGGAATATTGAAAGCAGCTCAGCGCTCTGCCTGTTTTGAAGTCCAGGAGGCAGAATGATTGGATAAATATTCACTGCACATCGCCATCCCTGAATGGCCTCATCTACCTTTGCTCTCAGCGCTCTCTGCTTACTTACTGATATCCATGCATGGTGTCTAACGGATGCATGCGCTGAAAGATGGAGAGCGTTTTTCTTTTYTTTTTTTTCAGCCCACGTGGCGCAGGACAGGAGCTGAAGTTGGACCTAAATGAAAGGTTAAAAAACACCACGTGTAGAATCCCACAGCAGCGCACCAACATMACAACAAAAGAATTTCTGGGACGAATTCCAGCCCTCGTTTTCCTGCATTGTCCTCTCTGCCTCTCGTCTCACCGCACCACCTTTCACATTGTCCGTTTACTTTCCGCATGTTTCAATTGAGAATAAAAATTGGGGATGTGCTATGTTCAATCAAATCCATAATTAAACTAAACTGCATTRCATCCATGCCTCCAATGATTGTATATTGTAGGCAAAGGAAGGCTTCTAAAGAAGACGATGCAAGGAGTGAGCTATGAAAACACCTAAAGAATGAAGGGTAGTGTGTGTGTGTGTATGTGTGTGTGTGTTAGAGGGGGGATGTGACTCTGTTAGTGGAGGAAGATGTAGGGAGCCATATGGTCTGTGACTTCAATGCAGCCCACCAGGAGGTGTCCGCGGAGCTGTCTGCCAGTGCATTAATCTGGCAGGTTCTAATGGTCGAGGCAGGCAACAACCAGCAGCTCTGCACTCAGACATCAATTCCACAAGTGCATSCCTCCCCAGCGGGCAAATGGAGCGTGGCTCTAAGCTGCAAGAGCTTTGTACGTTTCTGCACCGTCCTATCCTTATAAGCATCAAATCTTCCAAAAAAAAGAGGATAAAAGGAAAGAAAGCATTAGGTAGTTTTCAATTTCTACTAGATTTAAAGCACATGTGTCAAACTAACTCCCGCAGGGCACAATTGTTTTTTTTTTATTTGTTTTGTTTTTGTTTTACTCATTATGAAAAWTGTTTCTCATATCAATAGTAACATTTAAATTTATGATTAAATGCAGCAAAATAAACAAATTTAAAAGGTGACCATGAACTCAATCTCCCAAAAGGCATGTCAATCATCCATGGGAATTTCCTGTCACAATGTGGGAGAGTTCAGAATTCAAGATGGCAGCTACTCACTAGAAACTCATCAGTGAGTAGAACTGTATTATTTAAAGGGGCAATATTATGTTTCTCAGGCATACATTTAAACACTATACCATAATAAAGTATCTATATCACCTTTAGCTGTTATTAAAATGCTGTTTTTATGTTTACATAGAAAATAAACTTATCTTCTCATCACTTCCTCTTCTAAACACCTTGAAATTGGTCTCTGTCTCTTTAAGAAACACTTTCGCTTCTGTCTCACCCATTTCAGTTCGTGGG